CAATGCATTCTGTGGTTTTAGGTACTCAACACAGTTCCCGGCGTTTCGGCAATAATCGATCTGGCCTTCCCCTTACTGACAATAGATGGAATGCGAGGGGTTAGTGCTTTTGACTGCTACATGAGTTCCGATTTATCAGTAGCCGTGAATTTAAACTATAAACAATATAAATTTGTAGTCAAATGAAAACGATTTTGTAAATGAAGTTGGTTTTCAGGAACCCGATGATGACATTCTATTAACCTATTGCCCAACGCTTTTCGTTGTGGGTTCTGAAGCATGTGACTACCACGCAGGTGCAATGAAATATATGCGATCAAACATGATAAGTAAGTGATTTCCTCATTTGCACCCAGTGGACCCATTTATAGACGTGGATTTCCAAAGTGCAAAACGTTAAGAAGCAGGCGTCCATAACATTACCTGCTTCCTGCTGACTTATTTTTGCGATGAAGCTTGAATTGTACGCACTATTTCCAGCGCCTACTGGCCTTGTTGTGATCGGTCATGCCAACAACAATTTGGTCGTTGCCAGTTCCATTTTGTCCCGTCTACGCATAACTCAAAAAGTTGTCAACAGATGCATTGTGGTATGTTGCTTTGATAGTGTAATTACCCTTTACTAGAATAACAGCATAAAAATTGTACTGGTGGGGCTTTTTGCTCATGGTGGGTATCCCTAAAACTTCCTCGTACGGAAAGACTGACTAAGTGGAAATCCTGGACATGTTCATCAGACACTAGCGTGAGTCTTCTGAATCCGTCGAAGCGACTTGCCGGGAATCCTAGGGGCACTGGCGTCAAAGCACAATATCGATGGGAGGATCCCATCACAGGTTTCGCACTTGGTCGCTAGGGAGGAAGTTTTATTTACCTGCGGGAAGTTTTTTCCGATCAGTGAGAAAATTTTTCAGAAGCATTTTTTGGTTCCTCCCTCGTTTCACGTTCATGATCTCCCTCCCCACCTCACTGATTGCCAGTGCCGCGCCCCTTCCATACAGTTGCAATAGTATTTCTAGCGATTTTTTATTTCTGCAGAAACCACTGAAAAAGAGCGGGTACGAGTCGCTAATTCATAGCAAAGAGATTATTGTTTCCAGGAGCAGATCTGTGATTTCCTCTCCATGGACTGGACGAAACGCGAGCGATCTCGTCTTGTTCCCATGCCCTTGAATGATACCTTCAAGGTCGATTTGATGCAGCTCAAAATTGAGTAAGTACCTGGAAATATGGTAAACATGGTATTTTGGTGTGATTGATACTTTTTTCCAGTGAAAGAGCAGCTCAAGCGAGTAAGAAGCCGAAAGAGGACAGCTTGGCTGATAGCCGTAGTCGTAAGAAGAAATTGTACGGGTTTTGTGGTTTCTCAGAGACAGTGGGCGCGACTGCTGGAGGCTGTTGCCAGCGCCATTGGTGGAAGGGCTGTGAGAGGGTTTTTACCACACTCCACTCAGCCTTCCACCAGTGACTTGGCGACAACCGCTCGCCCCCAGCAATCGCTCCCACAGCCTTTGGTACTAGTTGATTGACCTTTGAACCACGACATTACGGTACTTTTCAGATCCGGTACTCCCCTACCTTCTCCTATCCCAAGAGATGCTTCGCCATCACCACTTCCTCTTTCGCAGCTGGATAGCATGCGATCGAACTTCCAGACTTTACTCAAAAA